AGTTTTTGGAATATGAAGAAAAAAAAAAACAAAAACATATTTTTTTTTTTCTTTTTTTATATTTCAAGACCTTGTGAGAAAAAAAAAGATCTGCAAAATACTCGCCATGCCTCTTTTTAAATTCATTGGGGTGTCTACTTTCCAAAAAGGGGTCATTTGGTTGGGTTTCAGGGCCTCCGAAACTGTGATAGGTAGTGAGCAAGTGTAATGAGGAAGTTACGCACCTTCAGGCTTTCAAAGTGGTCATTGGATTTCAGGCTCATGTACGTGGCTAGGCTCCCAAAAAGTTTCACACATGTGGTATCTCCATACTCAGTAGAAGTAGCAGAATTTCTTTTGGGCTGTAATTTCACATATACCCATGGCTTGTGCAAGAAATCTATCATTTAAATGACAACCTTGTTTAAAAAAAAAAAATGTTTTTGTCATTTTCCAGAAAAAACACGCACGTTGCAGAAAAAAATTAAATCTTTCATGGACTCAATATGCCTCTCAGCAGATAGCTTAGGGTGTCTACTTTCCGAAAAGGGGTCATTTGGGGGTGTTTGTACTATCCTGGTATTTTAGCACCTCAAGAAATGTGATGGGCAGTCAGAAAGTAAAAGCTGTGTAAATTCCATTATCTATACCAGCAATGGGCAAACTACGGCCCGCGGGCCGTATACGGCCCGCGGGCCGTATACGGCCCGGCGGACCTTTTAATCCGGCCCGCGGAGCTAGGCTCCCGCAAGGCCAGTGGTCGGCAAGCCGTGGCTCTTTACAAATTTAGATGCGGCTCTCCTGTGTGCCGGGCGCCCGCTCCCCTCCCTCCTCTCCTCCTCTCCCCTCCCTCCTCCTCTCCCCCTCCCCCCCCTCCCTCCTCCTCCTCGGATGGCCGCCCCCCCTCTCGGATGGCCGCCCCCTCCCTCCTCTCGGACGTCAGGACTCTGCAGCTGTCAGGATGTAGGCGGGGCAGCGTGACGAACTCCTCTCACAGTCCTCCCTGAAGACCAGAACGGCGCGGGAATACGAGAGGAACGCGCGGACCAAAGGTAAGTGAATTGACACAGGGGGGGGACTTACTATATGGGGGATGAATTACTATATGGGGGACTTACTATATGGGGAATGAATTACTATATGGAGGACTTACTATATGGGGAATGAATTACTATATGGGGGACTTACTATATGGGGAATTAATTACTATATGGAGGACTTACTATATGGGGAATGAATTACTATATGGGGGACTTACTATATGGGGAATGAATTACTATATGGGGGACTTACTATATGGGGAATGAATTACTATATGGGGGACTTACTATATGGGGAATGAATTACTATATGGAGGACTTACTATATGGGGGATGAATTACTATATGGAGGACTTACTATATGGGGAATGAATTACTATATGGAGGACTTACTATATGGGGAATGAATTACTATATGGGGGACTTACTATATGGGGAATGAATTACTATATGGAGGACTTACTATATGGGGAATGAATTACTATATGGGGGACTTACTATATGGGGGATGAATTACTATATGGGGGATGAATTAATATGGGGGATGAATTACTATGTGGGGGATGAATTACTATATGGGGGATGAATTACTATATGGGGGATGAATTAATATGGGGGATGAATTACTATGTGGGGGATGAATTACTATATGGGGGATGAATTACTATGGGGGGATGAATTACTATATGGGGGATGAATTACTATGGGGGATGAATTACTATAGGGGGGGATGAATTACTATGGGGACGAATTACTATATGGGGGACGAATTACTATATGGGGGACGAATTACTATATGGGGGATGAATTACTATGGGGGATGAATTACTATATGGGGATGAATTACTATGGGGGGGGATGAATTACTATATATGGGGGATTAATTACTATATGGGGGATTAATTACTATGGGGGATTAATTACTATGCTTACTATGGGGGAATATTACTATACTTACTATGGATGACACATACACATCATTCATCAACTCTTGGTCCGGCCCCCGGGTCCATATATGAACCCATTGCGGCCCTCAAGTCAAAAAGTTTGCCCACCCCTGATCTATACCATAGTTTGTAGACGCTATAAACTTTCACACAAAGCAATCAATATACACTTATTGGAATTTTTTGTAACCAAAAACATGTAGCAGAATACATTTTGGCTTAAATTTATGATGAAATTTTTGTTTTTGTGGATATTTTTTTTTTATGACAGAAATGAAAAAATATAGCTTTTCAAAAAAAATTTTTTTTCAAAAAAGTTTTTTTATAGCGCCAAAAAATAAAAAGCGCACAGGTAATCAAATACTACCAAAAAAACTCTATTTGTGTGAAAAAAGGACATCAATTTCATTTATGTACCATATTGCATGACCGCGGAATTTTCAGTTAAACTACTGCAGTGCTGCATAGCAAAAAAATGGCGTAAATTGCAGTATCTATACCATAGTTTGTAGACGCTATAACTTTCACACAAAGCAATCAATATACACTTATTTGGATTGTTTTACCAAAAACATGTAGCAGAATACATTTTGGCCTAAATTTATAACTAACTTTGAGTTTACTATGTATTTTTTATAGCCGAAAGTAAAAAATATCATTTTTCCTCAAAATTCCGGTCTTTTTTGTTTATAGCGTGAAAAATAAAAAGCACACAGGTTATCAAATACCACCAAAAGAAAGATCTATTTGTGTGAAAAAAGGACGTAAATTTTGTTTGGGTACAGCATTGCAATTATCAGATGAATTAGTGCAGCGCCAAGTAGCAAAAAGAGGCCTGGTCATTAAGGGGGGTAAATCCTCTGGAGGGCAAGTGGTTAAGCAAATGATTTGGTTGTGGTTGGGCTTTAAGCCGTAATGGAGACATTCTCTTTTAGGCGGAATGAGGTCATTGAGTTCTGGTGAATAGGCGATTTGATAGCTGTATAGCCTGAGAAGTAAATATCTAATGCACCATTGAGGTACATACCATTTCTGAACTTCGTTCACCTGGTGTTGTAATACAAACAAGTTTAAAGTTGCAGTAAAATATCATATGCAGCACTAACATAATGGCTGATAAATGCTTAAAATTACTTGAACTAGATTACCTAGAGCATAGGATAAAAAGAAAATGAAGAGAAAAGCAGCAGCCATTCCCAAGCAGTCAAACAACTATTAGCAGGTGACGGAAGTTCATTTTCAATAGCTAAATAAAAGGTTAGGTTGACAGTCGCCCACATGCACTGAAAATGTCTTTTAAGTACATGCCACAAAATCCTGATGGGTGTGAAACAATGTTGTATTTTGATAATAAATATATAATTGATATAATCATCTCATGAAAATATAATCACCATAGGTGATTTTGATTGCAAAATCACAAGTTCAGTTTGTTTGTGTAGATGAAGTTATTGCGGCATTTCCTATTCAAATACTGTATCTAGGATGAGGGGATTTTTTTTAACCAAGAATGTTAATGTTCTCAATTGAAGTAGACCTTTACAAGTGTGTGAGTAAATTCCTGACATATTACAATATACAAGAACAGTATCAGTTTTCAGGAAAACTGAACTTTTTATTACTATAAGCAGTTAGTAAGCTCTAGTCAATTGACTTTGTTGAGCCTGAGATGATGGCATCATTCTGCTGCAGGCAGGAGGAAATATTCCTTTACTGTCTTCTACCCAGGCATCAGACTGCAATATTATAACTTTGTGGCAAAGCACATGGTGAGAGACTTCAACAGGGTTTATCTGTGTCAGATATTTGTGAACAAGAACAGCACAGGAACCAGCTTGAAGCCAGCATCTCAGTCCAGGCAGTAGATGCTGACCCTCATAGTGCTAGAACTTTTAAAGAGAAAAGCAAATGAAGGTGTTTTCTAGGGTAGTATTTTGTGAGAGTTGATAAATACCTGTCTGTGTTACATACTGCATAGCATTGCTTAACATGAAACATTTGTACAGCTTACCCATGGTGAAACCACTGATCCCTGATTCTGGATGGCAATGACCCCGTCTGTCAATGTCAGAGTCTCCCTACAACCCCTCCCACTGGCTAGTGTGGTACTAGACATTGGCTAGCATTGGGGTGCTCAAATAAATTTGTAATCAGATGGTAGAGGGGTGAAAATCCCCAAACTAAATCTCAATATAGGGTGGTGCTGTCCCCTTAAGAGGAGGGTAACACGATTATGTCCATCAGCATCTCTCACTATGAAGTCCACTGTGAAGCCTCCTCCTTTTCTCTGGTGCCCGGAACTTTGGATGCTCAAGGGCTCCTGTCTACGAAATCTGTAGCGATGGTGGCAACTCAGGACCATAGCTATTATAACTTTTGAAGCCAGTGGCTCCCCACTCCTCCAGCTCATTGGGTTCCTTTATTGGCGATGAATTCTGAGTGAGTGCAAAAGCAAAGTCCCACTCTAATATCAGACTAAGCTTTGGACATAAGCAGGGTATCTGACTCAGTAGTCCCCCAACTGTCTCTCCTCACCCTCCACGTGATACTTTCCTAGCCCAGGCTTCTCCCTTTCCTCCTTCCTCTGCAGTACATCTCCCTGGGACTTGTAGTTGTCCTCTTGGGAACAACATCTCCAAGCAGTCCTGGCCTCTTCCAGCAGCCATTGCAGCCCCCAGCAGTCCTTCCATGGCTGAGGGGTTGGTTATTTTCTTCCCAGGTACCGCTGCAGTCAACCACTGCCCTCTTTTTGCTGTTCTGGGCAGTGAACAGGGCTAAGAAATCCAGCAACCAGTGAAAATTATCCTGGCTGGTTGCTAGGGGTGGGTCTTGCCCCTTGCCTACACAAACAACAAATCATTCTCAGTCCTTCTCTTCCTCCTTGCTACGGAGCTGACACTCCAGTAGGGAGGAGAGAAAAAATGTCCTGTTCCTGTTAATTCCCAGTACTACTGAGCAGGAGATAAAGAGTCCAGCCCAGTGCTCTACATATATATAGGATGTTAGGTCCACAACAGGGGCGGACTGACAACTCATGGGGCCCCTGAGCAATAGGGGATCATGGGGCCCCTGTGTCCTTGCCCAAACTCAAAAAGCCTATGAAAAAGGTACCAGGGGCATCTCATGGGGCCCCCTAATGACCCCGGGCCCTCGGGCAGTGCCGAGTTTCCAAATGGTCAGTCCGCCCCTGGTCCACAATAAGCTCATATGTTGCTATGACAGAATTAGCATCATGTTGGTATAATTGCAATGCCACGGTTGCTGTCTACATAGCTTTGATAGCTTTTGCAGATGTTCCTGTGCATAAACAGATATGCAGTGGGCCATATAAGAAATTTCTACAGCACTGAAATAGTAATCATAGATTCACAATTTCTTTATTTAGTTCCACAAATACTTTATTGCAGTTAGGCAAATATGAAAAAAAACAACAAAAAACAAGCAAGGACTTGAGGGCCAACACAATCAGTACAACTGACTATGAGATATCTAAAGATAATTGCTAAAGGATAACAATTATAGGAGACCTGCAAGCAAGTCCACCTACAGTATAAGAGGCACAAGAAGGCACAATAATTACAGACAGCAAATATGTCCATAAATGCACAGAACATTTTCCAAGGCCAAAAAAATGGAGTGTGGCGAGTCAGAGCACAATTACTTTATTTAAGTGCAGTTGTAGAAATTATGGATCACATTGCATCTTATGTGCTTGTAGTAGTTCTCTATCACATATTTCTCTGCATCACCTGTTGTTCCATTAGATCACTGATAATAAATCATGTTGTACATGAGAATGACGTGGCCTTTTTGGTTTCCTACCACTATGGTTCCATTGATTTATGGCAGAATTATGCCATATCCTTGGTTAAGACCAATGCACTAACGTGCCTAAGGTGCATTAAAGGATAAGTTCACCTTTGGAACATGTTCCACCTGTTTTTGGAGTGGGACATACAACATGTTCCCATAGCCGCAGCCGTGTCACCTCCCCCTCCCTCTGACAGATAATACAGGGAGAAGTCTCCCCATACTATCTGTCAGATTTGAATACAGCGTGGCCGTGCGGGGCTCCGCCCACACAGCCGCATCACTCGTTCACAGAGTTCTGTGAATGAGGGCCTACAAGTCCCAGCAGCCTTAGCAGCTGTCGGCTTGTAGTTTTCAGTGAACTACCACGGCACTGTGGAGCACCATGGTAGTTTATTGAAGCTTCCTGGCAGAATAAAATATCTGCTTGACCGTACATCCCATATGGCAAGCAGATATACTGGTAGGTCTGCAGGAGACCTGCATGGCATCAGTAATCTTCTGATCACATGTGCAATGCTTTCAGGCTCCTTTGGACAAAACTAATAAATGCATGTTTTTTACCTGCAAAAAAAATGAGTATTTATTTTTTTTTTGTCCAAAAGGTAAACTTATCCTTTAAAATGTGCTAGTGCAACATGAGCATTACTTCAACACCTCACCAGAAAGGTGTAAATGGACCCTGAAAAAGAAAACAAATGCAGCACTACATCTGAGGCTGGTGAACTGCATTATATTAAGTTTTATTTCTTGTGTTTAGATACACTTTGAAGACTTGTAAGGTGGGTAGCAGGGCGCGTCGGTGGACAATGCTGTGGAAGTATGGCAGCTGATGATGGATGGTGTGTAGGGAAACTGGTACTGAGCAGCACTTCTAAAGTGTGGAGACAAACTCTGTGCAGAAGAAGGTGAAACAGGAAGGCACTTCTAAGTGCAGTATTCCAGGTCAACTGTAATAAAACACTTACAATGTGGTAGTACAAACAGGCTCTAATGTAATCTGTCAATAGCAGGGCTCTGGCCTCTACGCAATTGAGTCTCTGTGCCAGCCAGCAGCTGCAGGGGGAGCTTGAGGAGAGGTGTTAAAGATGGCCGCTTCTCTGTTTGGACCGCTGGAGCGCACGCTGGAACGCACGCTATCTGCGGACCGGAAGTGAGCATGGAGCGGTGACGCATTTCGGAGCATGAGCAGAGCTCCTTCTTCAAGACTTCTTCCTGTTTCACCTACTTTGAAGACTTGTATATCTGCTGTCACATCCAGATCATTATTTCTTATTATAAAGGATATTTCAAATTAAAACTATCCTATACTTCCTAATGTATAATACCTTTAATACCTTGCCTGCTCTCATGCTGTCACATTTTCATCCAGTTGCTGTCCATAGCTTTCTACAGCATGGGAAACTCTTTTACTTCAGCTGGTTTATCCGGAGAGACAAGTGACTGCTGGCATCATGTCTGAATGCATTTACCTAAAATAAAAAGAACATCTTAAATACTATGCAATATAGTTCTTTTCTTTACAAGTTCTAACTTGATTGTGTGTGTTTAACAATGCATGTAGTAATGTATGAATTACATAACTGCTTAATCCATTGATCATATAGCTTCACATTTAAACACTATTGAGCTATTGCAATTCCTAGCTGGTTACACATTCTCTCTACTGATATATTTTATTTCTTAGCAATAAAATGCACATGTATAACACAATCCCTAAGGTTGTGAGAGGCAGAACTTTCTTGAGCATATATTAAAATGAAACGCAAATTCACGTAAGTAGCTGAACCCATACTCTCATCTTCAGATGTGTTAACTGCAAACACACACACATAGGAGAACATATTCACACGTTATCATAATTAAAGCAGGACTAAACTCATCAGTTTAACAGTTCCAAAAAAACAGTTACATTTCTGGCACGTGCCATGAATGTAACTGTCACAGCTGTTTGTAATTTCAACCAAACTGTCAAACCATCAAATGGCTGGTGTGATGACTAGAGATGGGAAGGCCTGGGGAAAAAAAACGGAAACATTGGGAAAAATATTTTTTTACAAAGTCATTTTGTTTTTTTTCTGGAGAAATTGAAAAAAAAAGTCTTGAAGAATATATTCTTTAACAATGATAAATATATCTATGACATGGTATTCAAACTATATAACACGAATACCTTAATTAAAGATTTCTGAGACTTTATGTAACATCTTAAATTATTGCAAGTTCTCTCAGCTGGGGACAAGCAAATCCTGGAATACAATTCAAGTAACACTGTACTTCTCAATGCAGTTCTTAAACAATAGAAATATACATTTCAGCTACTAGGTAGCACTGCAGGAGAAAGGCCCCAATTTAGTTTTCTTGTGGGCTCCATCTTGAACCTCCTACAGTTGGGCAATTGTTGGGATACACAAGATGACAGTTTCTGTCCTCTCAGGCCTTAATTGACAGGTAAGAAGGTAAATTTGTCTGACAAATTAGTTTATCTTTTTTAACCTTTAAATGATTCCTATTAATGTTCTCCACCATCACAGCATAATGTTTACCTATAGTCTGGTCAGTATATTGGCTTTTCTTTTCCTCCTCTTGATAAAGTGGTAAGGCAAACATCCAAAGTTTTTCACAGTGCAATGTCTGCTGAGAGCAAAGCTGCAATTTGCAAATATTGTGAGAAGAAAAATTATTTTCCAAATGCTACAAGGTTGACAAAACATATCCTTGTTTTCCAGTGGTGCCCTAAAGATATTAGATACATCTTATGGAATTAAATGATGAAGACCAGAATGAAAGCGCAAGTAGCATTTCCCTCCAGATTTCTCATTCCAGAAACACTTTTATTTTGATGGTTTCTTGCTTTTTTTGTTGCTTTTGAGGGAAAGGGGGATGGTTACCTATTCTCATGTATAGTTGAAATGTTCTTAACATATACGGTACAGTCCTTACTCCATTTGCAATAAAAAATAAAATTGTAAAAAGCAAGTTTAGTTTATTTGCTGAATAACCTGTACTTATGACTAGTTTGGTCAAATTAAAGCAGATGTTGTTGTGATGTTCATGTTTAATCCAGTACTTCCTTTTCACCACACAAGGTGCCCTCAGTCAGATCCCACTTCCTCTGAGCCCAGACTGTTCTGGATTCAACCCCAGCCTATAACTGGACAGTGAAATTGGGAAGCAGCACAGTGATGAGCTTATCCCTCTGTCACTTTGCCCTCTTCTCCCATCAGCATGCTTCTTGCCAATTTATGAATTGATTGGCTCCTTCTATTGCTGCTTCTTCTAACACTTGCGTCCCTGTGCTTGTAAGGAAAAAAACAAAACAAAAAAACATTACATTTAATGATACTGTACAGAGCTGCATTAATATTTGTTCATCATATCTGCCCAGCATTTAGCTTTAATGTGATGTATTGAAGTGCTTTGGGAAAAAGCACATATAGTGCATTTTTGGTATGATGATATGCCTTGTTTAATTCATCAAAAGTAAAATAGATTCCTTGGAAAATACAAAACCTTTCTGAAATTAGTCAATGCAAATTAATGTAATGGAGTGAGCAAGCCCTAAAAGCTCTTAAAGGGTTATTTCAACATTACAAAAAAAAACTACCTTTGCAGATAATGGATGTCTGTCAGACCTGGACTGGCCAAAGGATATACTGGGCATTTGCCCAGTGGGCTGGGGCCACCTGGACAGGAGAGGTGGCCAGGCGGCACATAGAGGACTGTACATTTCTCGGTTCCTCTATGTTCTTCCTCTGCCTCTCCTATCATCTTCTGCAGGCTGCAAGCCCTGGACTCCTGTATGCCTCCCCGCAGCCAGCCCCTTCTCATCTGTCAGCATATGCTATCCCCAATGCTGACAGTTCCCTGCCCACCAGAGAAAACTGCCCCTCCTCCTCCCGCCCTCTCCTCCTATGTATGCCTCACCCACACTCCCCGCCAGCCCTGTGTCTTCTCTCCTCCCTTCTTTTTTTCTCTCCTTTCTTTCTTTCTTTCTTTCTTTTTCTTTCTTTCTTTCTTTCTTTCTTTCTTTTTTTTCTTTCTTTCTTTCTTTCTTTCTTTCTTTCTTTCTTTTTTTGTTTCTTTCTTTCTTTTTTTTCTTTCTTTCTTTCTTTCTTTCTTTCCCATCTCCTGTTTCTCTCCTTTCTTTAGTTCCTTCTCTCTTTCTTTCTCTGTCTCCTGTTTCTCTCCTTTCTTTCGTTCCTTCTCTCTTTCTTTCTCTCTCTCCTTTTTCTCTCTCTCTGTATATACTTCTCTTTCTTTCTTTCTCTCTATATACCTCTGGCTTTCTTTCTCTCTCTCTCTGTGTCTCATGTTTCTCTAATTTTCTCTTTCTTTCTCCTGTTTCTCTCTTTTCTTTCTTTCTTTTTTATACTTCTCTCTCTCTCCTGTTTCATTCCTTTCTTTCTTCCTCTCACTCTCTGTCTCTCTCTCTCTCTCTTTCTCTCTCTATCTCTCTCCTTTCTTTTTCTCCCTCTGTCTCCTGTTTTCCTCCTTCCTTCTTTCCCTTCCTTCCTTCCCCCTTTCTTTCCCTCCTTCCTTCTTTCCCTCCTTCCTTTCTTTCCCTCCTTCTATACATCTCTGTTTCTCTCTCTCTGTGTCTCCTGTTTCCCTCCTTCTTTCTTGCTTTCTTTCTTTCCCTCCTTCTTTCCTTCTTTCTCTCCTCCTTTCCTTTCTTCCTTTCCCTCTTTCCTTCTGTCTTTCTATACGTCTCTCTTTCTCTCACTTTCTTTCTCCTGTTTCTCTACTTTCTTTCTTTCTTTCTTTCTTTCTTTCTTTCTTTCTTTTCTTTCTTTCTTTCTTTCTCTCTTTCTCTCTATCTCATGTTTCCCTCCTTCATTTTTTCTTTCCCTCCTTCTTTCTTTCCCTCCTTCTTTCTTTCCCTTCTTTCTTTAACCCCTTCCTTCTTTCCCTCCCTTCTTTAACCCCTTCCTTCTTTCCCTCCTTCCTTTCTTTCTTTCCCTCCTTCTATACATTTCTTTGTTTCTCTCTCTCTCTGTCTCCTGTTTCCCTCCTTCCTTCTTTCTTTCTTTCTTTCTTTCTTTCTTTTTTCTTTCTTTCTTTCTTTCTTTCTTTCTTTCTTTCTTTCCCTTTCCTCCTTCTTTATTTCCCTCCTTCCTTTTTCTTTCCCTCCTTCCTTTCTTTCTCTCCTTCCTTTCTTCCTACAAAAAAAATGTAAAAAAAATAAAAAAATATAAAATTGTAAAAAATTAAATAAAAATAAAAACCTACTGACACTAGTGGCAGAACTACCAGGGTTGCAAAGGTTGCTCTTGTGACCGGGCCCTGGCGTTCGGCCTCCGGGATTCGAGGAAAAGGTCCCCAGGCTTTGGGCTGCTCAGTCCAAAATGCCCAGGCCTATTTTTTGTCCCAGTCTGGGCCTGATGTCTGTAGATGAAAATGAACTTGAATTGAATAATGTCTTTGGTGTAGACTATTTACATGCTTCTGAACCTGAAAACAGCCAGGATGTTGCTAGGACTTTGCTAATTGAGGCTTAGTTGTTACTATTTACATCCACCTTCACAGGAATGAGCTCTTTCTTTGACTCAAACCCTCTGACATGCTCTCTCTCCCCCCTAATGCAGTAGCTTGGAGATCAGTGTTTCAGAGCTCAGTCCTGATGGAGAAGGTGAGCAGTAATGATCAGGTCTCACTAAACAAAGTCAAAGCAAGATCCTTGGTGTTTTCAGGTCAGGCTTCATGATGTATACCAAAGACCTACACCTATAGCAAGGGCATTATTCAACTTTAGTCAATGCTGCACATTTTGTTTTTATCTACAGATGCCTCTTATCTGCATAGACAGTTTTTATTAAACCACTTGCCCTTCAAAGGATTTACCCCCCTTCCTGACCAGGCCATTTTTTGCGATATGGCGCTGCGTTACTTTAACTGACAATTGCGTGGTAATGCAACACTGCACCCAAACAACATTTACGTCCTTTTTTTCCCCACAAATAGAGCTTTCTTTCAGTGGTATTTGATCACTTCTGCGTTTTTTTTCGTTTTTTTGAGCTATAAAAAAATTTTTATTTTGCTACATGTCATTACTAAAAAAAAATACCAATAGTTGTAAATTAATTGGCTTATGTGAAAGCTATAGTGTCTACAAATGGCGGTATATATACTGGAATTTTTTAAAACTTTTTTTATACTAGTAATGTCAGTGATCAGTGACTTATAGCAGGACTGCGGGACTGTGGCAGGCATTCTGAGACTGGGGCGGGGGGGGGGGGGGGGGGGGGGTACTGACTAACTGTCACTGACATCCCCAGTGACACCAATACAGTTATCAGTGCTAATAAAAAGCCCTGACACTGTACTACTGACACTGGGCAGGGAGGGGTTACCATCAAAGGGTTAACTGTGTGCTGTTTTACTGTGTGTTGTGTGTGTGCTTTACACTGTAAGCACACTACTTTGTATGGCTCTGCTGTGTAGTGTGCAGGAGCTGACAGGGGAGAGATCTGTATTGTTTACATACAGGTCTCTCTTCCCCTTCGGTGATACATGGCGGGGAATCACTGGCAGGGACCCGGTGATCGACAGGTGAGGCCACCAATGGTGGCACAGGTAGGGTGTGCGCGCCCCCCACCTGGAAATGCAAAATCACACATATATATATACATTATTTTGCGCACCCCTGCCACCCTGTATCAGTATTTCTCCTATATGGAGGTGGGAAAACGGTTAAAGAAAAAGTGAAACGGTTTGTGACAGCACTATTGTTGCCATTGACTACATACTAGTCAGTAAACGTTATTTATTTTTGGTTTAGTAAATTGTGCATATACATTTTTGTGTACAAAGAACATGGCTTCCAGCTCACCCCCGGAATTATTGCAACTTCCAGGTTACATATTCTGTGGTTGCCTACTTGCAGGTAAGATAAAAGGCTGAACCTAATTAGCTCTGAAACCTGTATAACAATTCCAAAATTATAGGGAGGAGTTGGCAGCCTTGATAAACAGGTGTATAATATGTATAATATGACACTGATGAATGTGTTTCAGGTGAGGAAATAGAATCGTCCATTGTGAATTGTGAAAGATATATAATTATCTGTCATTATTGAGAATATGTTAAGAAGTTACATTATGCAGTAGTTAAATAATTGCTATTGATTCCTCATCTATGAAGATAGAATCTTTTTTATTTCTACTTCAGTATGTTATATTGTGTTCTTGCTTTAATGAGGTTTGAAAGAACAGTATGCAATAATCTGGAACATTTGGTTATTTCCTAACGACTCCCAGTCCCAGTTTACAATTACAATAGAAGTTTTCAAGCAGCCAAATAAAAAAAACCCAACAAAATAAATATCATATATGAATCTCACAGACCTTTGCCTTATTTAAAGATGATAAGATACTATTGCAGTGATAAACCTAAAACCAAAAAGTAATATATTGCAGCTTACCAATCATTAGATGTGGTGGCTGCATTAGTTTTCCTTTTTAAGGCTTTTTGTCCCTCTGTTTTCCCTTTGTGACATGTCCAGTAACATACCTCCTGTATTAAAATGCCTACACTCTGGATGAAGGTGCACAGGGGGCACCTTTGGACAGCAGCATTTTCAGTCTGTAGAGAGGGGAGTGTAAAGGCCCGTACACATGATAAGAAAATCGTACAAAAATGTCTGGCAGGAACGATTGGTTGATTATATCTGTTCGTTAGAAATACTGTTTTTAACAGCCAATTCTGACTGGATGAAAAAAATTTAAAAGAAAATGTTTATGGTACATGAGCATGATGTCCAATTTTTGCTCAATGTGTACAGTAATCATATGGAAATAATCAAAAAGAAGAAAACATGCATGATCAGAAGCAAAGAACGACCTGGAAGAAGGTGGCAACGAATATAGACAGGGTGTATCTACAGGGGTCGCAATGGAGACCTGGACCCATGCAGCAGGGGGCTCATGCAGGCCCCAGGTGACCTGGCCCTGTCATTCTGCCACCAGGCTCGGAGGGTCGGAGGAAAGGGCCCTGGCCAGGGGTCAGGGGGGTCCTTCGTGGTCTTGCACCGGGGCCTTGAAGGTTCTAGTTATGCCACAGAACATAGAAATCGTACACAAGAAAGAACATTTGCCTACATGGGCTGAGAATTTTAACCAATACCATTGCCAGTTACATGATACGCACCTTCGTGGAAAATCGGACGATTGTCCATCCGATTTTCTCATAGTGTGTACTAGGCTTAAGATGGACTGAAAGATTTAAATACACTAACAAATTGCAGCCAAATTCAAGCTAACACTTTATAAGCAGTTACAGCAAACAGTTTTTTTTTTTTTCTTTTGGGATAAAGGTTTTTTATACATAAATAAAAGCTGATCATTGTAATCACTCCTGTCTGTGTTAAATGGTTTGTTTCATCTCTGTAACTGCAAGAGAGCTTGTTCTTTTGAAAAAACAACAGACTTACTGACCAGATCACCAGATGAAAATATGAGACAGAAAGCATAAAAAAGAAAACTAATGCAGCCATCACATTTAAGAATTGGTAAGCTACGATTTAATAAATGTTTGCCTTCTTATACTGCTTATTAGTTAGAAATGCATATTTTATTAAGTAATTTTATCAAGTTGAACACACAGAAATCTATTATTCTAGAGAATGCTAAAAGGGAAAGCAATAATAATTATTTGCAGTTGTCACTAAACTACATTTTCTCGCATACTAAAAAATGTAGTGGTATAAACCAGGGGCGGACTGACAACTCATGGGGCCCCCAGGCAATAGGGGATCATGGGGCTCCTGTGTCCTCGCCCACACTCAAACTAAACCCAAAAAAGCCTATGAAAGGTACCAGGGGCATCTCATGGGGCTTCCTACTGACCCCAGGACCAGTGTCCAAATGGTCAGTCCACCCCTGGGTATAACCCTTTTATTGCCAGGGCCTACGCTCCATTTTTTACCTCAGATGACAAGATCATTTTTTTCAAACTTTCACTTTTATAACTTTTTTTTTTACTTACAGATTGAACTCTTTGCAAAGACCCACCAAGCTATCCATTTTCTAAAAGAATAGTTCTGATCAGGGGCAGACTGACAACTCATGGGGCCCCCGGGCAATAGGGGATCATGGGGCCCCTGTGTCCTTGCCCAAACTCAAAAAAGCCTAATGAAAAAGGTTAAGTACCAGGGGCATCTCATGGGGACCCCTACTGACCCCGGGCCCTCAGGCAGTGCCCCGGTTTCCAAATGGTCAGTCCACCCCTGGTTCTGATAGCATTAAAGATGGTGGTTCTGATTTTGTAGGCCCCATGATCAGCATTTAATAGTACTGGAGATTATATTCATGTTTACCATCTCCTTGCACCTCTTCACTGACACAGCTGCTCAGAGGATCATAGATAACTTTATGAATTGATCTGATCACATCAATTTGTATTCTTTACTATAGTCTATCATACAGCTACTTGCTAGCCTCTGAGAATCTTCTTAAATTCCAGCGAACAGCTGTGAGAACAGAATTTGTAGTAAATAATGCAATCAGAGGCTAGCAAGTGATTGCCATAAACGTACTGCCTTCGAAACTACCATGGATGTAACTTTTACTGAGCCATCCAACTGGAGGCATTTCTGTTTTTTACATAAGCCTTACATTCACAGCAGTAAAAGGGTTGAAATGTACCTAATTCGTTTTTTTTGTTTTTTATAACAGCAAAAGGGAAAATTGTTTCTACACTTTCCACATTTCTTAAGCAATCTCAGAATCCAAAGCAGTGCGGGGAACAGCTAGGTTGCAGTTCCAAGACTGGGTGAAAACATCCACCCCCATTGTTGTAGGTTGATACAAACAAAACGGTGGATTAGGAAAAAGTGGAGCATTACCTTTCATAATCTGCCATGAAGACATCAGATAAATCGATTATGATCATACCTATTTTTACTGCACACTACTTTTTTTTTTTTTTTTCCAGACTTATAATAACCCCAGAAAACTAATTCTTAATTGCCTTAGTTTTTTGGCATACAATTGCTTCCTTTATTCATGGATATTTTCTCATTATTTGAGAGCTATTGGTGGGCAGAATGAGGAATTCAAATAATACATTTGAACATCAGATTGGAGAAGGTATATGAACCACTTCCTGTCCAGCCCATGTCCATAAAATTTAGGACCACAGAATACCAGGGTGCCGTGATGTGGCTCTGTATAGCTTACGTATGTATTTGCAAATGTGTGCTAACTAAACCCCTGTTTTTAATGCATACTGTTAGACAGACAAATTTGGTTGTTGGCAAGCTGGCTGGTGAGTTGATTTTTGAACCCTTTTTTTTTTATTGACATGCGTTGCCCGGTTCACGTAGTCCTTGCTTCATAAGCCAGTTATAGACCGGGGCAGGTGCCATGTTTTACTTTACTGTTGATTTTTAGGTGAATGGGTGCACTGGGCACCCTGGCTGCCATTGTGCTATATGCTGGGTGTCCTTTGCACTCCTGTACCTTTATGAGGGGTGGGCTCCCTGATGTGCACCTGCCCTTGGTCTATCCTTTAAATACATGTGCCTCTACTATGGGGGCTCTCAAATTTGTAGAGTTAGGACCACTGAATACCAGGGTGCTGTGATGTGGCTCTGTGGCTTACGTATGTATTTGCAAATGTGTGCTAACTAAACCCCTGTTTTTAACGCATACAGGCTAATTTGGTTGTTGGCAAGCTGGCTGGCGAGTTGATTTTTGAACCCTTTTTTTATTTTTATTTTTTATATATACTGTACATAAACGGCCAGACTCAGACTAGAGCAGTGCAGGAGCAGGTTGCCGGTCATAAACGGCGCCCGTATTTACAGCCTGTGCGCACTGTACGGGACATCTGTGTGAGGTCCCAATCATGTGATCACTGATTGGCCAATCAGTGATCACATGAATAGCAGTAAGCAAGATGTGACTCCTGACATCATTGCTTACTACTAATGAAATCTGTGAATGATCACAGAGGTCACATGGTACAAGGCTATTCACAACACAAAATTCTATATGTGTATGTCCAGCCTTAGTGCATCTCCTATCATCATCATCCAAATAGAAAATAGTTATGGCCACACTACAGTCGGTCCTTCACATCAGCAAAGTGCACTGAGAAGATTTATGCCTACAACAAGCTGACAAAGTAGTGAAGGCATTATATACAGTAGGTGAATGATAAATTATACTATTGGTTGACCTATGAAGGAGAAACATTAGCCTGACCCTGCAATAATATCAATATGGCAAACACAGAAGCATTCTAGAAATTATAGTAAAATGAAAGTAAAGTCAGTTTTCGGCAGTCTGATTACTATACGCATTTTTCATTTAAAGCATTTCATTTAAATGTTGTATACCTTATCCAGTGCAGAAAATGCAGCAAAGGATCTTATGTTGGCGAAACAGGACAGAAGTTGCAAACAAGGATGAATTTGCACAGACATACCATCAAGGAACATAAAGAAGATGACTTTTGCACACCTGTAGGACACCATTTCGCACAACCAGGCCACACAATGGGAGACCTCAATATTTTAGTTCTTAAAGGAAATTTCAAATCCATCCAGGAAAGAAAAACTTTTGAACTAAGAATGATAATTCTATTTGACACAAGAGATAACGGCCTTAATTTGGACATGGGATTCCTCACTCACTCATTATCCAACAGTTTTTTGACTATTAGCTGAAGCTTGACTCCCTCTGTGTTTTGTTAGTGGGCAGAATCCAATGAGCACTTTTTTTGTATTTCAATGTTTTAATAATTTATAAACAGTCTAAGACAGGAGCAACAAAACACGCCCACGCAGGGGCTATCAATTGCACATAAAAAAAAATAAAAAACCCAGTGCTCTATCACCAACAGAGCAAAAGGTGCGCCCACACAGGGGCTATCAATGTCACATAAATGGCAAAAACATTAGTATAACACCGACAATAACTCAAACTAAAGGCAGCTATCCACCGCCACACCAAAAACAAACAGAAAAAGAAAAGGAAAGAGGAGTACAAAAGTAAAAAGATGAAAAGACCAAGAGCAGGGTCCGAGAACGCCAATACCGAGCAACATCACAACCCCAGACTAGCCGGGGGGAGCGTGGGAAAGGCATATTGCAACCACAGCTTCCATATTTTCAAGCATTTCCGTTCCATCATAGTGGTCATACAGTCCCGCACCCCCTGAAGAGGGACAAACGGGCTCTTCCAGGCCTGAGCAATTGTTCTAGTGTTCTCCTAGATTGTAAGCTCCAAGGAGCAGGGCCCTCAAATCCCTCTTGTATTGAACTGTATTGTTATTGTATTGTCTCCCGTTTTATTGTATACTGAGCAAACTGTTGGTACTATATAAATCCTGTATAATAATAATAGTGGCTGACAAAAACAAATAGGAAGCCAACTTCTGCTGGTGAGCCAAGAGGCCCGGTATGGGACAATGAACCAAAGCATACCAAGCATCCCGGAGTATGGAGAGATGGAACAAAGTGAAAAGGAGTCCAAACACACGAGACCAAAAACAAAACAGTCTCGGGCATGACCACCAGATATGCAATACATCACCACAATGGCCACAACCCTGAAAGCATCGATCACTGCAGGCAGGGTTCACCTGGGTCAAACAAGCCGGAACCCAATACCAATGAAACAATACTTTGTATGCTGCCTCCAGTGTGTTCGTATTAAATGAACATTTTAGCTATGAGCAACCAGGCCCTATTCCAGTCCTCCAGATCCACGACTGCCCCCAGGTCATGCTCCCACTGAGCGACATATGAGAGAGAAGTCAATGAGCACTTTTTTAAGCTATTACTATATTTGATAGACAGGACCCCCTTTGTCATAATAAAGCACAAAACAGTCCACATAGTGTGCATAAGGATGTTTGGTATATTTATATGGCAGTTTAGATTCTAAGTATGTGGTGTCCAAAAGTACACATTAAACTTAAATAAACCCAATGCACAAGTTGCAGAAACAAAATCTTGGAAATATTTCCTTCAGTCTTTTCTTATTTATTATATCTGACAACTTACACTGTTATACAATATATATATATATATATATATATATATATATATTGACTTGTTTTATCAGCCACGGAAAAGCAGCAGCTTGGTTGTGACAAGCAACTTTGAGAAGATGATGCAAGTATGTACAGGCACCTCTAAGTCCTGTACCTGCAGCAGTTTGGCCCTTTCCCCAGTGATAGATGCTAAATACTTGGAAGACTGGGTATTTCAGATTGTGACATTTTAACATGCAGTTTGATCAAAATACTTAGAATGAATTCAGTAGTAACATCTGTTGATGTATAACTATACTGCAGACAACTCCAACTAATACAGTTTAATATTTGTTAAACTTCTTTTTAGGCAAATAAGTTAATGTAAGTACCTTAACTTGGTTTTGTATCACCCTCCTGTAAACCCCTGTAGAAGTGAACTCAAATTGGAAAATAAATTGGCAAACTAAGGGGGCTTCATGGTTCTATGTCCAATGCCTGTGGACAGGGAGGTAATCAAGCTGTGTTAACTGCAGGAAGGAAAAGTTAGACCACCAAACTAGATGTGCAAATACAAAATACAAATTCTTTGGCAGGTAAAATATCCCCCTCATATCTACTATCACCTCTTCACTACTCCAGTTATCCCAAAAGCTTCCAGGGCCTCCTTAACCAGCGTAGAGTCCACTCTGAGCTGCAACACCAGAGGTTCCCCACTCATTAACCACTTGACCACCAGAGGATTTACCCCCCTTAATGACCAGGCCTCTTTTTGCAACTCGGCGCTGCACTAATTCAACTGATAATTGCACGGTCATGCAATGGTGCACCCAAACGAAATTTACGTATATTTTTTTTCACACAAATAGAGCTTTCTTTCGGTGGTATTTGATCACCTGTGTGCACTTTTTATTTTTCACGCTATAAACAAAAAAAGGCCAAACATTTTGAAGAAAAACAATATTTTTTACTTTCAGCTATAAAAAATATATAGTAAACTCAAAGTTGGTTATAAATTTTAGGCCAAAATGTGTTCTGCTACATGTTTTTGGTAAAAAAAAATCCCAATAAGTGTATATTGATTGCTTTGTGTGAAAGTTATAGCGTCTACAAACTATGGTATAGATACTGCAATTTTCGCCATTTTTTTGCTATATAGCGCTGCGCTAGTATAACGGACAATTGCGCGGGCATGCAATATGGTACATAAATGAAATTTACATCCTTATTTTTTCCCACACATTGAGC